TGACAAGACAATTCCTAGCATACAAGACAACCCTGTTCTTATTATCTGCTAGAAGACACTTTGGCAAGCTTCCAGTCAAAAGATTTGAGGATAAATCCACAAATTTAAGTTCATCATTGCAAGAAATATTATCAAAAACCATTCCTGTGAGCTTGTTCCTTGATATATTGAGAAACGAAAGAGACTGTAGCGAAAACAATACCGGTGGCAACGGCCCAACCAACGAATTCAAAGAGACGTCGAGATATTGAAGCTGGTAAAACGAGTTAACTTCAGCAGGGATACTCGATCTGAACTTGTTTCTACTCAGTTTAAGGGTAACTAGCTTATTTCCAAGCTGAGGGAATTGAGGTCCAAAGCCATTGTCTTCCAATTCAAGCACTTGAAGGTTCGTCAAAGTGCTAAGATCAGGCAACTCCCCATAAAAATGGTTATGTGAAAGTGAAAGAACTCTAAGATTTTCCAGCTCACTCAGTGAATTGGGCAAAGATCCATTTAGAACATTGTGTTTCAAGCTCAAAACAGTAAGCAGCGGAAGCGCACGGAACCATTCAGGAAGCTGGCCTGCAAGCATGTTACCATCGAGTATAAGCGTTCGAAGGCCTGATAGCAACGATATCTCTTGAGGGATGCCACCATATAGGAAGTTCGAGCTCATGTTTAGTATTTCCAGAGATGATAAATGAGCTATCCTACCAGGAATTGAACCCCATAAACCAAGAGAAACTAATGTAAGGACTTTCAAATCTGGAAGCTTAACAAGGGTATTAACGAACGCGTTCATCGAAAAGTTACGAGGTAATAGAACAGCTCCTTTCTTGCCAATTATATGCAACTGGGTCATGTTTCCTTCATAGCATACAACAGTCACAGAAGAATCTGGTTCCAAGTTGCAAAAATCTATGTTGTTATTCCAGTTACTTAACACAGCTGGGAAGTTCAGAAGCTGCTGTATTCTTAGAAGCGTCCGAGTCTGCGACGATTGCTGTGAAAGACCGATTCTGACTAAAAGGATGACGATAACTAGAAGCACAGAATTATGAACTACTTGAGCCATTGTTCCTATGAACAGAACCAGGTGATGAATGACAGTGAACTAGATCTCAGAAGCCAGTAAATTCGAGCAGCTTGTACCGTATCGACACTGCTCCAAATGGAAACGACGTTGCTTAGAACTACCCTAAAGCAGAATATGATAACAAGCAGAGTTAACATTCAATTAGAAACAAGAACTCCTTAACTTGACAAGCCAAATGTGAATATCAGAGACTCCTCATGACAACAAACAATCTTTTAAACTGAAAAAAGAAAGATCAAGCACAGCCAGGAGTTGTAAGTTCATCTACACTCAAGAACTTCATAGAAAATGAAGAACAAACAACTATATGAAGTTATTCATCACACAACTCCAAGATCCTCAACAAACAAAGCCACAGTTCTATAACCAATCAAAGATTTTGCAATGTTCAAACCCAGCAGAAATGTGAGATCCCACATCGGTTGGGGAGAAGAACGAAACCCCCTTCATAAGAGTGTGGAAACCTCTCTCTAGCAGACGCGTTGGAAAGCCAAAGAGGAAAATATCTGCCAGTGGTGGACTAAGCCGATCATTAAAAAAAACCCAGAAAGCTCATTTCAATCCAAAACACCACAGGTCTTGCAGATAACCCATTTGGGCAAAACAAAAGGAATTTGAGCCATACATTCATAAAACACTCAAGAAGAAGCTCCTATGACACAATTTACAGAAGAACCCGTTCAAATAAGTCGGTTTCTATCATAATACATGCCAGGACAAATCAGTGACATAGTTTCAGCAAAATACCTCAAAACCCAGATGCCAAAAAGAACAAACAGACAGTGAAATCACAGAAACAGACACACCAGTGGTGTTCTTCCACATTCTAGAAATTTCACGACAAATTTCATCTTACCCAGTTCAAATTTCCGGTTAATCAAGATGATAACGAATGAACTTTATGATAATCATCCATGAGATAGTCATAAAGACAAAAGGCGAGCTCTGACTGGGATGAAAAAGCAAAAGGAGGCGAAAGATTCCTGCAGAGAAAAAGAAAGAGTACGTCGTCTTTATTCCCTGTATGCGACATAATCGAACTTGGAGAGATATTAAATTCAGAAGAAATAGGATTGGAATGGCATAAGAACTGGAGGTGGGTCGATGATTTTTGGCACAGAGTGCAATGTGAGGCCTCGCTTTCGTTGATGGGTGCGATGAAACTTTAGAATTCTGTGGTTTTTGTCAGATTTTGGAAATGGAGGAATGTGGGTGGTCCCTTTGCTTCCAAATCTGTTGCTTTTGCCGCCTTTCTTTTGCTCCCATTGCCATTTTCATCGCACTGTTGCTACCCATTTTTACAAAACGTCTATATTTACAATCGAATCCAAGCTTCAATGTTCTTACAATAAAGTATGCCCAAATTTCTCATAATTATAGATATAATGGTTTACACTAAAATTAATATTCATATATGATTTAAACTTATAATTTGCTCATTAATGTGAGATTAGTGTTTAGAGAGAGGGAAATTGGGAGCTAAGTAAAGGTAGAAATGCATGTGATATTAATCATATGATAAACATAAAATTAAAAAAATTTCCTCCCTCCCCCAATAATATTATAGACTTAAATATGTTGGTGACAGATCAAATTACATATATTGTCCGACCAAAGCTGTATGAAAATAGTATAAAGTTTTTATTTTTATAATTTTTTTAATATAATTAGCAGAACAACCTAATGAAATGAGACATTCTACCCGCTTTTATCTCATACAATTGGAACTCATAACCCTTCCACAAGATTTAAATATATATTTTTTTTTTTAATAAAGCTTTGAAATTTTAATTTTAATTTTATTTTTTTTTGAGTCTCGCTTAAAGCAAATAGTTCTTGATTTGAAGTCTACTGATGATGCTCTCAATGTCGAAACGACATTCGATTTCTATGTCAAATGAAAAAAAAATGATGAGAGTTTATGTAACCGCTCCTTTTGGACTTCTCCTTAAAAGGCCACTCCCTTCGGGGCGCAGTGTCCTCGTTGGTACTCGTTCCCCTCTTCTGTCGATGTGAGACCTCACAATCCACCCCTCTTTCAAGGCTTAGTGTCTTTGTTGACATTCGTTCCTCTCTCCAATTGTTGTGGAATCTCACAATTCATCCCCCTTCAGGACTAGAAGTTCTCGCTGACTCACTGCCCAGTGTCCACCCCCCTTCGGGGCTTATCGTTCTCGCTAGCACACTACTAGTAGAAATTGTTCTATTTAGCTTTCCCTTTTGGGATACCCCTCAAGGTTTTTAAAACGCGTCTGTTAGGGGAAGGCTTCCGCGCCCTTATAAAGAATGCTTAGCTCCCGTCTCCAACCAATGTGAGATCTCACAATCTACCCCTGGTACTTGTTCCCATCTCCAGCCGATGTAGAATCTCACAATTTACTTTAAGGTAAAGATGTCAAATGCTAAGCTTTCGTCTTTTGTAACATTCATATTAATGGTTTTAGGCATCTTTTTAAAGTTTGTACGAATGACTTCACCTTTTTATATTGTTAAATAGATAGAATATCTAATGTTCTTGATAACCAGCCTCACACTATCCATTAAATTTATGATACCGAAGGTACTTAGATTTACAATCGGTTCAGATTTAATCCATAGAGTTGATTTTTTCCTCACTTTTACTCCCAAATGTCAAAATTCTCGGGAGAGATATTAATGACATCTATGAAAAAAAGTGTCATAGAAGAGCTCGTTGGAATATTAATGTTGTTTTAGGAGGACCCGACTAAAGAAAAGACCTATGCCCTATATGTGTAATGAGAGGGACCTTTAGACCTAGTTGAAGGTATGAAAAGACAAAAATGCCCCTTTGTTGAGCATGACACATGGTTGATACATAGGGGTACTTTTGGAAACTAGTGGAGCAAGGTCATGTGCCAAAGCTCAAAATGTCCCTCCGTGGGCGTGCAACCCACTTCCAAGTTGTCCAAACCTCTTTGTTTTGTGGAGGAGAGTTAGCTTTGAATTTAGACCTAAAAGTAGTGATATTATAGCTTTAGACCTAAAGTGGTAATTTTCTTTAATGAAGCATCAAAATCTTTGGCTTAATTATTATAATGAATTCAAATTTGAAATAATATTAGGAAGCTTACATTATTTATTATTTAAATTTATTAGAATATATTAAGATCGACTTATTTATTTTAACTTTTTCGTGGAAGATTGTCCATCATTGTTAGCTCGAGCATTGTCCACCATGATCGGTATCAGTTAGGAGAATATTTCATGTGGTTTCGCTTTAGTCGGTGTTGGGTTTCGATTGTCGACTATTATAGATGACTCAGGAAAGGTGTGGTCGTTAGTAAGGATCTTTTCTCTCTCAATTTTTGGATTGGATCGAATCAGATAGTTTCATATTTGACATTGTTGCTCGTCATCGAAAGGGGCTTCATCATCGTAGATCCATCACTGGAGCTCCATTATTGTCGTTCTAACAACATAGGATGACGAGCAAGGAAGATGACACCCAAACGAAATCAAGTCAAGTCTAGCCTCGAGTTTGCCCTTTATGTATGTAACTTGGCTCGGCTCGTTGCAATCGTCCACTAGTTTAAGATGAATCAAAATTGACCTAAAAAAATTATGCTTGCTCACAATCTGACATCTTTGAAACTCTTTGAAAACCAGTACGCAGTAGTGTTTCATAGGTAGTCAACTAATATTAAACGTTGTCTGATGTCTTGTTCACTGTTGAATACTAGATTATGTCACCACGTTGAAGAGTTGTGAACCCCTTGGGATCATTTGGTAGTTTCAGGTACAAAATGATGAAGATTAAAGAACACGAGAATCGATAGATTTTGAAGGAACACAATAAACAATAAGACAACCTCGACATATCCAAAAAGAAGACAACAAAAGATGGGACAATTCTAAGGAAAAATGGGGTAAGAACTTTCGTGAAAATTAAGGAACACAAGAGAATGAACATCTCAAATGAACACAAAAAAAAAAAAAAACATATCACAACTTTGTAACCATTTTTATATACAAGTTTAGCTTTTGGAGAAGACACACTACAGTCAAAAAGGAGGCTTAATTAAGTGTCAATAATCTGAGGTCCTAAGTATTCTATTCCATCCATGTGAGAGTTTTCTGGTACCTCAATCTCTTCTAACCATCCATATCCCTCACCCTCTTCTTCTGTCAGTGCCACCTCACCATCTGCATGTCAGAACATTATTACCATAAGAACAATGCAACAAAGCTTGTGAATCCATTTGAAAACAAAGCTATTGTGCTTACTTGGAAACGAGGCATAGGGATGCTCCTTATAATATGAACAATCTCGACCGTCCTCCATGGAATAAGGAGGTCCGATTACATCGAGCACCGCACATGGCGTTACAGCAGTGAATGAGTGGATGTTGCCTCCTGTTGTTGGGTACAAAACAGAGGTACTGCAGGGCGAGGTGAAGACAGTGTCGGCCTTCAGCTTTGCTAATCTTTCTGCAAAGCAAAACAGTCCATCAGCACTTTCGGGTTGATTTTCACGAGAGATTCATGTTTATAATAAGAAAGTTTCGAGGCACTCACTTTGACGAGGTTGGGCAGGATCGTCGGTGTTCGTTGGATCGACCCAATCATATGATTTGATGTGCATTTTCCCCAACAGAAGTTTGCTGAAAACAGTCATTCCTGGATGGTTGTGTAAAGGGATTACACCAGTTGCTGGGAGGAAGAAGATGCATAACTGCATAAAAGTGGGGGAAATGCCATCAGAAATTTGAACAAAGAAAACCCAAAACAGTATGATCTCGACTAATAAGTAAGGAATCGGGTGTTAACTTGAGCGGACAAGAGGAATGACGAACAACCCTACATTAGCCCCTAGGCCAACCCTATAAGGTAAAACTAAAGGTAGCTTGTCTCTCCCTAGGGGTGAGAGCAAAGTGGAAACAGTCTCAAAAAGGGTTCGGGTGTTCACCATTCCCTTACGTGACCGAGTGGTGGCGTTGCTAACAAATTGCTAGTCATTTTCGAGAATAAGGTGGAGCTAAAGGTAGCTTGTCTCCCCCAAGAGGTGAGAACTATTGAGAACAAAGTGGAAATGGTCTTAACAAGGAGTCGGTTGTTTGCCATTCCCTTACGTGACCCGAGTGGTGGCACTGTTAGCAAATCGCTAGTTTTTCCGAGAATAAGGTGGAGCTAAAGGTAACTTCATTGAGAACAAAGCAAAGTGGAAATGGTCCTAACAAGGGTTCGGTTGTTCGTGAGAGCTAGGCGTATATAACAACACGTGCTTTAAACAAAAAGCAGCCCAAAACTAGTTAAGGCATTGCATTAAGCTTACCGAGAAATTGTCACACTTGTATATGGTAGTGCAAGTTACTCTAGAGGATGATCCTTTGACTTGAACATTGGGATTAAAAAACTGCAAATTACTACTAAGTCCAACGTCTTCTGCCTTCATATTATCTGCAGCATCCAAAAACAAAGAAATTATAATTATCAAAGGATGTTCATGTGCCCCCATCGCACAACAAAGCCCAACGTAAAAAAACACTATACTATTCAAGCTCACTGCTAGTAGATATTGTCCACCTTTATCCATTACGTATGGTCGTCGGCCTCACGGTTTAAAAAACGCGTCTATTAGAGAGAGGTTTCTACACCCTTATAAAAAAAAGGTTTCGTTCCCCTCTACCATCGATGTGGGATCTCACACAATAAGTCGTTTCTACCTCCCTCTCTTGGTGGGTCAAGTCTAAATATAAAGAATCCTAAGAGCATAGGGCTGACATGAACATAAAAGCATGATTTGATATAACAAATCACTAAAGGGAAGTCATTTCTATTACGTATAGTTGTTAGCCTCATAATGAGAGGTTTCCATACCCCTACAAGAAATGTTTTGTTCGTGCGACATTATAATCCACCCTCATTGGGACCCAGTGTCTTCGCTAGCACATCGCCTAATGTCTAGCTTTTATTTGTAACTGACTATATCCGCCACTAGTAGATATTATCTGTTTTGGCCGGTTATATATTGTCATCAACCTCACAGTTTTAAAATGTATTTGTTAAGGAGAGGTTTCGAAATGCTTCTAGAACTTTCCACACCATGTCTCTCAGACAAGAATGTAAAGACAAAAGGAAATCAAAGAATCAACTGGGCCCAACTAAGCTAAGTTCATAGAGAATCAAGAACAACAAAAGAATCAAATGGAAATAGATTGAATCTGAAACATACCAAGAATGCGACAGAGCTTATCTACATCACAAGGCAATGGAACGGTTCCAGGGCCTTTGAACACATCCCTGCAAGAAACAAAGAGTTCCTGAAGCGCCATAGGAACCACTGGAACAGACCGCTTCATCCTTCTACATTTCCTCTTCTTAATATCCCTTTTCACATACTGAACCTTATTCACATGCCCAATTCTAATACTCCCTCGATCCACCGCTCTCGTTTCCGTCGTCATAAGAACACAACAACAAAAACCCTCCTCTGTTTCCCCTCAAAAACCTTCCCCAGCGACAAAGAATGAGCCACAAAACAGAACGATTCAATCCCAAATCAGAAACCCAGATACGAAAAACGATGAACGATGCAGAAACACGATCTGGGTCGTCGTGTAATAGGCAGAAGAATCAAAAAATTAAGAGAAACGAAAATGGGTTCGTCCAAAACAAGAAACCAGAGACGAACAAATCAGAAACCCAGACACGAAAAACGCCGAAAGATGCAGAAACACGATCTGGGGCGTCGTGTATAAGGCAGAAGAATCAAAAAATTAAGAGAAACGAAAATGGGGTTCGTCCAAAACAAGAAACCAGAGACGAACAAGTACAGAAACAGAACGATTCAATCCCAAATCAGAAACCCAGATACAAAAAACGTCGAACGATGCAGAAACGCGATCTGGGTTGTCGTGTATAAGGCAGAAGAATCAAAAAACGAAAATGGGTTCGTCCAAAACAAAGAAACCAGAGACGAACAAGTACAAAAACAGAAAATCCGGGTAAGAAAAGGAAGAAAATGAGAATGCAAGAACAGTAAGAGGAAGTGGGATAAGATATTAATAATATATAGAAACAAGAACAGAGGATTAAAAAGGGGAAAACCAGGGGCCATGAAGAACAGGGGAATTGCTTCGCTAGAATGACTGTTCATTCTGGGGGAGAATAAAAAAGTGGATAAAATAAAGAGAAAAGCGAAGAAAGGGAGAGAAATCTGCTTGGAGAGGGGTTGGGTGGCCGCCCCTAAGATTAAGAGGAAACTGGCGGTAAGCGGAACCTGGTTTTGGGGATTGGGAAACAAGCGGTGGGATTTGACTGTTGTAGCGCTAACAATGGCGGATTTTTGCAAAAGGATCTAAGGAATTTTCTTCCCTCTTTTGAGGGTAGAGAAGAAGTAAACGCCATTAACGACCTATAAGAAGCAAGAAATGAGCTACCAACACCTTCAAACGCAGGGAATTGAAGCAATTTCCTTTTGGAATTTTGGGGTATGGAATGAATTTTATCATTTTGACAAATTCGTTATCATAGTGGTTTTGTGCTGGGTCAAGGTAATGGAAAATGATATTTATGTTCATAAATATTCTAATTATAATAAAATAATGAAATTAACCCAATTCCGGATGGTTAAGTTATTTGAATTATTTATTTAAATTTATATATATTAATTTTTCAAATATTTAATTAAATTTCGTAATTCAATTTCAATATATATTTTTATAAATTACTTTTGATGGAAAGTTATTTTTTTTAGAGTGATTGGGTTTTAAAATATTGGATTTAATTATTTCTCTTTAACCAAATTTAAATAATTGTTAATCAATCTAATTAGTTTTAAAAGAATATATATAATTTTTTTTTTTTTATATTTTCGATACTTTTTAATGAATTAAACTTTATGGTCTCCAAAAATATGTGAAAAGACAACACTGTCGGAAAAAATGGTTAATTTCAGACATCAATAATTTATATTGCAGAAATGTTTTTTTTTTCTTTTATTATTTTATTTATTTAAAAATAATATTCTCAACTTTTTCCTTTATTTATTTATTTATTTCCAAAAACGGTACAAACGATCCTACACAGTAGGAGTTGAATAATTGCATCATATAATATTTAGGTTTTATTAATATCCTTAAAATTTAACAAAATATTTAAATTAAACCCATTATGGGATTATTTTAAATTTTATATGGCTAGAAAATAAAGAAAATAAAAAGTTTACTAATAAGGGCTTTAATATTTATTTATTAATACAAAATTAAAATAGGATGAATTTAAATAATTATATCTCCTCCCTATTAAATCTTCCTAAATTCTAATTTTAGTTAGGCATATATTTTTTTTACCCCAAAACAAAGATCTCATTATATATAATATAAAATATGTCAAAAACATACGGATTATATATTACAGACTAAATCAGAAATCGTTGTGAGAACATTTTCGTGTAAGAGTGTATATAGGTTGGGTTGAGTTGAAAAAATCTCTTGGACTAACTCAAAGTTTCGGGTTGGTTAAGTTGGTGACCTGAGCAATCTGAATAGAGTTCGCAACCTAACTTTCTATGAATTGGGTTGAATTATTGAGTTCTTCTTCGTTTATTATTATATTAAAAAATCATACCATACGTACGTGTTATATTAATAACTAAAATCTCATAAAATTCAAATATCAAATATTTACCATGATTGACCCAAAAACCAAACCAAACCAAACCAAATTTTCAATTGTTAAAAAATTCAACTCAACCCGACACAAATTTTTATGATTTGAGTTGGACAGTGGGATTGATTAGGTTATCAGGTCATATGAACACCCCTAGTGTCTTAATAGCAGAAATCCCGTAAATAATAACGAGTCGACGCCCATCAAACTAGATGAATCAATTCGTTCGTTGTTTCGCTTTGATGGAATTGTTTGAATGATCATAGAAAATGGTTGTCCTTTGGGCAAAGAGAGAAGAATATGTAATAATTATCCCAAACAAAATGAAAGCAAAAGGGATTGAAAAGACCTCAAAAAGGAAACCCATTAGCCATTCTATGCATTTTGATGGTTTTGGCTTTCAATTTTGGCTTCAAAACAAAACTACAATCATATTTTCCTTTCTTTTGGGTTCATTCTTTGTACTTTCATTCTCTTTTCTTTTCATCATCAAAAAAGATATTATAATTTTATTCAAAAAAAAATATCTAGAAGTATACTCGGTTGACGATTATTGTGAGATGATAATTAATGTCTTATCTATTAAACTATACTCGGTTGACGATTATTGTGAGATCTCATATCGATTGAAGACACGAACGAAGTATTCCTTATAAGATGGTAGAAACCTCTCCCTAACAAACACGTTTTAAGACCTTGAGAAGAAACCCGAAAAGGAAAGCGAGATTAAACTAAAAGATGACAAAGTTGCCCATTTCAGTTATCCTATGAATCCAAAACCGAACCGAATCAATTCGAGTTTAGAAAAAATAACCCAACTCAACCCTTATAATTCAGGTTGAATTGATCCAAATAGTCGGTTGGAGGTACACCCTAGTTATGAAGCCCATGAATCAAGAACAAAAATGATAGCAATCTTAAGAGCATTTAGAGCAAAGGTTTGGGGCTTACTTACATGAGCTTGTAAACATTGTTCTTTCTATATATCACAAAATCACCTTCAAGAGCATTTAGCATAGCAACCAGAGATTCTTCTTCAGAGCCTTTAAAGTTCTGCATCATATTGTCAAGTGTAACCTGCATTTTCAACCATATTGCGTTCTTCATTTAAACCATGTTAATGTAAAGTTCATAGAGGTTTGCTTCGTTTCACGTACCCCGTCATTGTTCTTCAGCCACTCTACTAGCGAGCTCACGGTTGCTTTTACTGGAATCCGATTTTCTTCGTCCGATTCGCAGACTTTTTGACGCTTTAATGAGATGGGAATTTCCTCTGTTGAAGGATTACAAGCTGCAGCTACATTAGGCTCTTCTTTTTGCTGCTTTGAGGTTGGACTCCCTGAAAACTTTGGCACAACATTCATAGGTTCGTCGGTTTTTTCGTCTCGGGGTAGCGTACTTTCGGGGGATATTCCACATTTTTGCATTAACAGACAAGCCTTGATGTGTGCATAACTAATCTGCCATCCAAATATCGACTTGTAGTCATATGCTGATGAATGAGCATTCATCCAAAAATCAACATGAACAAGCAGTAAAACGACAAGAACAAGCATAAGATCGAAAGGAACAAGCATAAAAACGACAACAACAAGCGTAAAATCAACAAGAACAAGCATAAAATCGACAAGAATAAGCCTAAAAACGACAACAGGCATAAAAACAACAAGAACAAGCATAAAAACAACGACGAGAACAAGCATAAAATCGACAAAAACAAGCATAAAATCAACAAGAACAAGCCTAAAAACGACAAAAACAGGCATAAAAACAACAAGAACAAGCATAAAATCAACAAGAACAAGCATAAAAACGACAACAAGCATAAAATCAACAAAAACAAGCATAAAAACGATGAGAACAAGCATAAAATCGACAAAAAAACAAGCATAAAATCGACAAAAACAAGCATAAAATCAACAAGAACAAGCCTAAAAACGACAAGAACAGGCATAAAAACAACAAGAACAAGCATAAAATCAACAAGAACAAGCATAAAAACGACGAGAACAAGCATAAAATCGACAAAAAACAAGCATAAAATCGACAAAAACAAGCATAAAATCGACCAGAACAAGCAGAAAAACGACAAGAACAAGCAGAAAATCGACAAGAACAAGCATAAAATCAACAAGAACCAGCATAAAAACGACAAGAAACGCATGGATGACTAATGTACAGACGTCAAAAACTAGGAAATAGAAGAAAACATGTTTTACAATATCCAACTCACTTCCTCTGGTAATTCATCTTTTATAGCTTTTAACTTGTCCGTAGATCCGACCTTCGAAACAGCAGATTGAATATCGGAAAATATCGAACATGTAAGACCAATCTCATCACAAAATTTGGTCCAATCAATTGTATATCCTTCCTGAGCTGCATCAAGAATGTACCCAGAAACAGTAGTTTCTTTGATAGGTGCTGATCTACCAGGGAAGTTCTATGTTCCAAATAAATAGTGATATCAGAATAATGTAAATCAAAGGGAAAAGAGGATCAGCTCAAGACATTTTAATGGATTCACAGTTATTTATCAGGCTTATACATGAGGGGCGAGTTTCGACACTACCATGTTCATCGTCATACGACTTTTTCCGTAAAAAACTTCGAGGAAGAAAGATTACTTACAGCGATTTTCGGGATTGAGAGACCGTCTTCATACCACATTTTCCATGCTTCGAACTTTGCCGGTGCCAACGGTCTCCCTTGATTGGATTCTGTATAAAGTTTTCGAGCTGTCGTACATTGTCCGTTTCCATCTTCTTTACATTCACCATCCAGTGAAAGACCAACTTCTTGTGATAAATGCTTCACTGCTTGAAGAATTAGATCTCCATGCATTTTTAGCAGGTGCTATAGGATTATTGAAGAACATTAAACACTTGAATCATAGCATAATTCAAAGGTAATAACATTGTCATGACATCAAAGACGACTGCCAAACGTTAGAGACGATCATCGAATTTCTAGAGCTTGACAATGAACAGTCATACGAGAATAATCGTCAACAAAAGTAATAAAATATCAAAATCTTCTACGTGATTATTGACCAAGCCAATGACCTCATTCCCAATTGAATTCTTAATTTGAATGTGCAATCGAGCATTATCACAAAGGCAGGAAAAAAAAAACTAGGGAGTTGTACACGGGTTGAGTTGGGTTGGAAATTTTTTCTGGACCAACCCGAAATTTCGGATTGGTAAGGTTGGCTACCCTAATGAACCGAATAGAGCTCCTAACCTAACCCTCTATTTTCAAGGTTGGATCGGGTTAAGTCTTCGGGTTGCTCGATTTATTTTTTCTTTTAATACTCGTACTTATTAACAATACTTGTACATTAATAACTAAAATCTCATAAAACTCAAATATCAAATATTCACAAGGCCCAACGCATCACTAACCTCTATTGCAAACTTCAAATGGTTTTAATATTCATTATAATCTTAAAAGTAGGGTAGAGTTGGGTTGGGAACCCTATTTTCGAATTGATCGGGTTGACTCAACCAAAAAGTTTCCAACCCGCAAACCAAACCGAATTTTCGCTTTTCCAAAAATTCAACCCAACCCTTACCGTTTGGGTTAGGTAGTGTAGGTTGTTTGGATTATTGGGTCATATGAACACTCCTAAATAACACAACTAAAGACAAACGAAGTAGGTTGTGTCAAATCCAAGCATACAGAACGACCGAAAACCACAAACAAAGATGAATCCATGCGACGGGAGCTGAAACGAAGGCTTCACACGCCCTTGCGTGGGATATGGACAGAAATGCATTGAAATTCGAAGTACT